CCGTCGCCACCGTTGCCACCGTCGCCGCCCCCACCGCCGTCGCCGCCGTCGCCCGCTGCCCCCGAGAGCCCCGGGCTGTCCCCGTCTGAGCAGCCGTCGGAGGCCCACGCTCGGCAGCTGCTGCTGGCGGAGTGGAGGCCGCCGGGCGGGAGCCTGCAGCTGCCTCCGGGCGTCACCTGGACGCTGCTCTTCCTGCGGCGGCCGCTCTACCGCAACCTGCTGCGCTCGCCCAACCCCGAAGGTGCCGCACCGGGCGGGGCGCGGGCTCCCGGGGAGGCTTTCCCAGACCGGCTGTCTCTTCTTTCCGTCTGTTTCCTCGTCTCTCTATCCCTGTTTCTTTCTCTTTGTCATTTGTGCCTCTCTCTCTCCTTGAGGCTCTCTGTCTCTTTTTACATCATGTGTCCCTGTCACCCTAGCTCTCTCCTTCCCTCCTGCTCCCTCCCTCCCTCCCTTCCTCCCTCCGCCTGTTTTCTAAGTCTCCTTTCCTTGGTGCCTCCCTGTGCCTCTGTCTCTGTCTCACCAGATGCACATGGTCCCTCTCCCCCAGGACATTCTCAGAGCTCTCCCTGGGCCCTGCCTCACTGGTTCCTGCCAGGCTGGTCTGGCCTGGTGGGTGGGGCACAGATTCCTGCCCTTCCAGAGGAGCCCTAGGGGTAGGGGACAGGGAGAGGGTGGACAGGGACAGCCTCAGTAGGCCTGAGGCTCCATCTATCACCTGCCCATTTCAGGCATCAACATTTATGAGCCAGCACCCCCTACTGGACCCACAAGACAGCCCCTGGAAGCTCTGGGTGAGTGCTTGGTGGCTGGGCCCCAGGGCACAGTCAGTCCCGGAGAGGAGAGGGGGGACCTTCTAACCCTGTGCTCCTCCACCTGGCAGGCAACTTCCGTGGGTGGTTCATTAGGACTGAGCAGCTCCAGCACAACTGCAGGTGAGTGGCCAGGACCCCGCGCCTGCATTTCATTTCTTCCTCTAGCCTTCCTTGCTGTGGGACCAGGAGAGAAGGACTTTCCCTCTCGGGGCCTTAGTTTCTTGCTCTGTAAACAGAGTTAGTCACCAGAGAGAATGCTCCTAACACACACAGCATAGGCTCTGGTCAGGTCTGGCTTATACATAGTAGGTGTTCAATAAATAGCCGCTATTATTGTTCCTCTGCTGAGCCTCTTTTGGGGGGGGAGGGGGGAGTCCCTAGGCCTCCTCTGTCTACGAGAAACCTAGAAACTGAGCCCTGCTTCTGGAGGTGGGTGAGACTGTGTAACTCAGAGGCTCAGAGTTCACTAACACCCAGGGTTGGGATCCCGGCTCTGCAGCTTCTTTGCTGCTTGATCTTGGGCACATCACTTCCCTTCTTGAGCCTCAGTTTCCCTATCTGCAACACAGGGTTCAGAATGCATCACCCTCCCAGAGGATGATGGGAACCGAGATTGTAAGGTGCCGAGTGTGGGCTCAGCGCCCATAACTGTGTACCCTGGATATGAGGGAGCTACGATCAGGGTTTCCTGCTCCCTGGAGCGGACTGACCTGGGAGATGCCCAAGAATGAGAGCAGGTCCCAGAGCCCACCTCCCTGTGCCCTCTCTCAGCTGGACGGTGAAGCATCAGTGTGTGGATCTGCTGGCCGAGGGCCTGTGGGAGGAGCTGCTTGACGATGAACAGCCAGACATCACGGTCATGGACTGGTACGTGCCACTGCCCCACCCGGGTGCGCACAGTGGATCCCCAAAGTGCAAGCCTCGCCCCGTCCTCCCCTTTGGTCTGAGCTTCCCACCAGGACCCCCTGCCCCTGCAGGACCCAGCCCTGCCCACCTCTCGGGCCCCTTCTCTGGCACTTTCAGGTTTGGAAATGTGCCAGGCCCAAGGCCTGTTCCTTCCCTTCTCAAAACGGATCCCTCCCTACCCTTTAGGAGTCAGTTACACACGGCTCCACCAGGAAGCTTTCCCTGACCAGCCCCCATCCGGGCCTTCACCATTCCTGCTTGTCACTGCCTGGTGACAGGTTGGCCTCCCCCACTGGGCTATGACTCGCATAAGGGCAGGGTGTGGGGCTGTCTTGGTCGCTGCCTCGTTGCCAGTACCACCTAGCCCACGTGCACAGACTGGGTGCCAGCCAGAGGTTGGGGTGGGGATGTTGGGGCTGCGGTGGCAGCTGAAGGCCTGAGCCCCACCCCCAGGTATGAGGACAGCCGGCTGGACCAGTGTGTCTATGAGCTGCACGTCTGGCTGCTGGCCGCTGACCGCAACACCATCATTGCTCAGCACCACGTGGCGCCCCGGACCTCTAGGAGGGGCCGCCCTGGCTGCTGGTTACAGGTGAGACTCTGTGCCCCAGCTGCCACCCCAGACATGTCCCAAGACCTCACAGAGGGAGGAGGAAGGGGAGCAGGGCTCGTGGGTCGCTAACAAGGACTTCTTTCTGACCGCGGTGCTGCCACAGGTGTCCCACGTGTTCCGCCAGTACGGCCCTGGCGTGCGCTTTGTGCACTTCCTGCACAAGGCCAAGAACCGCATGGAGCCTGGTGGCCTGCGGCGAACCAGGGTGACCGACTCCTCCGTGTCTGTGCAGTTCAGGGAGTGACGAGCTGCTGCGGGTCTGTTCTGATCCCTTGTCTCATCTCCCTACCTGCCTCTCAGCACCTCCCTGACCCTTAGCACCACCCTGTTCTCTCAGCACCTCCCTGACGCTCAGTACCACCCTGACCCTTAGTAGCTTAGAGGCTCCTCAGCTTGACCCTGATAGCTCACCACCTCCTAGGCCCCTTGATCCTGCCTGGTCCTTGGCTTCTCATTTGACACATCCTGAAATGCCTGACTCTTAGGCATTTCCCCTGCACTCTCTGGGCTCCATGGGGGCAGGAATCACATCTTCCTGAATCCGTGCTTGACACATAGCAGGAGCTCAGTACATCTTGGTTGACTAAACAAATAAACGTGTGCCCAAGGATGCAGAATATTTCCATGGTCTTTGTTCCTTAGAACTTCACTGAGTTCCTGGTCCACTCCCTACCTGCCTCCTCTCATCCCTGATCCTCCAGCACTTGACAACTCCTCTATCTCCTGCACCACCCTTGACTTCTGATCTCTTCCAATATCCCTAATTTATGGTCTCTTAGCATCTTCACCTACCTGTTTCCCCATCTTGCTTAGCTCTCAGAATCTCCCCCAAGTCCTCCCCAACCACAAAGTGTCATTCCCCCTAAGCAGTCCCCATACCTTTCCTTCCCCCAAGACCCTCATTTCTCTTCTTTAGTTTCTCCTAAGAGCCCCAAACCCAGGTATCCATCAGGGGCGCCCAGCCCTGGGGGTGAGAGTGGGAAGAAGTTGCAAACTCACATTTGCAGAAATATGCAAATTTGCACTAACATGTCTTCCATGTGTCGGGGAAGAGAAGGTTGAAAATACTGAACAACACTTCAGTCCTAGGCTCTGGCCAGATCTCACTACAGACCCTGGGCTGGGCTGATTCCCGAAGGCCTCCTACTGCCTCACACATAAATCCTGACTCTGGAGGTCCCTGGCAGGCCAGAGCAGCTGGGTGGCACTCAGGGAAAGGCCATCTACCAAAAAGTCGGGGGAGCATGTCGATGTTGAACTATCAGCTGGCAGCTTCATTGCAGGCCACACATGCTTCCCGTGGGTGTGTGTCTTTGTGCACACCCACATCCATGTCAGAATCAATGGGTATGTGCCCACCACAGCACTGTCACAGGTAGGGGTCGATCTGGCATGACCACCCTGCTGTCTCCCCATCCCACCCCCGTCCTCTGTGGACGTGGGCCCAAGTGCACACAGATGGCAGACAAGGACAACGTGATAAGGGCTATATTGCAGAAAAGGCAGGGTGGGAAGGGGGGCAGGCAGAAAGCTCTCTTGCTTTGGGATTGGGGCCTTCAGCAGGCCCCAGGGACAAGGCCAGGTGAGGGGCCCATCATTCTGTAGGGGCTGAGATCAGGAACCTCTAAGGCATCAGTAGCATCTGCAACAGAAAAAAAAATTATCACCAGGAAGTGCCAGAAACTCAGAGATCCAGGGTGTTGGGGGGGCTCTAGAAACTTGAGATGAGGTGGGGGGCTGGGGCTGGGCTCCAACTTCAGGAGCTAGGAGTCCTGGCCTGGGATTTTGGGGCTGGGGGCTCTTGGAGCTCCTGGGGGTAGTGGGCAGGGGGGGTGGTTTGGGAGCATCCCAGCCAGAGTCTGTGAGCTTGGATACCTGAGTGCAGGGTGGGCTCAGAGGCCTCCAAATTGGGTTTGGGGCTCCAGAACCTTACCAGGGACCTTAGGACTGGTTTGGGGTTGAGGCTGTCTTAGAGGGTGTAGGTGGGTAGGGAGCATAGGGCTAGATAGGGTGTCCCTCGAATTGGGTCTGTGGTCGAGGTCTGGGTCAGATGTANGGTGGGTAGGGAGCATAGGGCTAGATAGGGTGTCCCTCGAATTGGGTCTGGGGTCGAGGTCTGGGTCAGATGTAGAGGCCTGGGAGGCCTGGGGAAGCTCTGGGATCTGATGATTTGGGGAGGAGGTGGGACTGCCTTAGGGGGGGCTCCAAGGTGAGGGAGGGGATGGCTCAGCATCCCCAGGCTAGGCTGGGCAACTGCGGAGTTAGTGGCCCTCCCTGGGGAGCGCAGCTGTGGGTAGGCAGGTGGGGGAGTGGGACAGGAAGGTGGTGGTGGTGGGGGTCAGCTTCTGAGTGTGGGAATCCCAGAACTGGGCCTGAGAGATCCCAGGGGCATGGGCTTAGGGGAGCGGTGCAGGTGAGAAGGGGGACCTCCAGGGCTGGGCCCAGGGACTCAGGGCTCTGGACAAGCCCTGAGGCCTGGACGNGTGTGGGAATCCCAGAACTGGGCCTGAGAGATCCCAGGGGCATGGGCTTAGGGGAGCGGTGCAGGTGAGAAGGGGGACCTCCAGGGACTCAGGGCTCTGGACAAGCCCTGAGGCCTGAACAGTGGGGCTGGGGCCTGGGCTGGGCCCTGAGCTCTGGCCGCGGATGTGGGCACGGGGCGGGCAGGAGGGCACCTGCAGTAGAGGGAGGAGATGGCGTTGGACCAGTGGCCGAAGATGCCCCGGCGGTACTCCTCAAGGCGCGGGTAGGTGCCGGTCTTAAACTTGTGAGTTTTGCCGGCCTTGCCGCGGCGGGACCACACGGTGAGCTCGCAGCGCGGGGCCACCACCAGGGAGGAGATGACATTTGTCCAGTCAGAGGGCAGGAAGGGCAGGTCCCTGCCAGGCTCNGCAGGAAGGGCAGGTCTGTGTCGGGCTGTATGGACAGCTCGGCGCCTGCGCAGCAGTTCTCGTAATAGGGGTCGCTCTTGTCGTAGACCTTGGCGCAGGTCCGTGTCCCATCGGGGTTCTTGAGGTCAGCGGCTGCGGGACAGGCGCCTCGGACGCCGGGGATGGCCACCAGGGCCAGGGCCAGCAGCAGTGGGCACAGCGGGGACATCGTGACACTGCGGAGCGGCCACACTGCGGGGCCGCGCCCCTGTGCGCTTTTATGCTCCTGACCCGTGGGAAGGGACAAGCTGCGAGATTAGGCCTCGGCAGGGAAGGGGAGGGCGACCCCTCCCCGGGAGCGGGGACAACTTCCTGGCCCACGTGGCCAACACACGACCCAGAAATACAAGGTGCACATATTTGTGTGCAACGGAACAGCTGAAGTTCTTATGAGGCAGCAACGATACACGGGGAGTCGATACACGGGACCCGAGGGCAGTCACCTGCCCACAGCCCGGTGGCAGGGTGACCGGGCTCGGGCGGGAAGGGCCCTGAGAAGGCGCCAGGAGGGAAACGCCGCGCTCCCTTGGGCGCCCGGGAGGCTGCGGGGGGAGGGGCGGGGCCGGTCCCAAGGCCTCGGGAACGCGGAGGCTGGAGATAAGGGGAGGCCGGAGGGAAGGGGGCCGG